GCCCAGGAGTTCAAGACCAGCCCAAGCACCATAGCAAGACCCCATCTCTACAAAAAATTTAAAAATTAGCTGAGTGTAGTGACATGTACCTATGGTCCTAGCTACTCAGGAGGATGAGGTGGGAGGTTCACTTGAGCCCAGGAGTTCAAGGGTACAGTGAGGTATAATTGTGCCACTGCACTCCAGCCTAGGCAACAGAGTGAGACTCTGTCTCTAAAAAAAAAATTTTTTAATGGTTATGATGGTAAATTTTATGTTATGTGTATTTATCACTTTTTTAATTAAAAAAAATTTTTAAAGGGCAAAAAATTTATTGCATTTGCCAAAGAAATAATAAAGGATGTCTATTTTCCTTAGGAATGGACACAAGCACACAAAAAAATCCTTCTTAAAGCAGAGTATTTCCTCCCATTGGATCCTCTTGTCTACCTGTGCACATCTGCAGGGCTTCCAACTCATCTGCGTTGAGGTGCACGTAAGAATGAAGAATGGTCCAGTCCTGTCGATGCCACACCAGGGCAGGCAGAGTCCTGGGGAATCAAGGCAAGAATCAAGTGGCTGCTGGCCCACTCTGTAAAGACTCAACCTGCCCCTTCTCCTCTTCCCAAGGAAGAAATGAAGAGAGTAGGGTCATGCAGCTCATCAGGGGCATAGGTGAGACCAAGCCTCAAAAGTGCTAACAAACACCTCAGGGCTTCAAATTAAAGCAGTGCAATGTCCTCTGCATTTTGGGTTAGATCAGCAACAAAAAGCTCTAGGTGAAGTTTCAAAAGATCTCCGTGGTGGCGAGGAGTGATACTTCTCAGGTTTTCCTCCAAAATGCCACTCTGCAGACTGCCATGGAGAGGGAGCCTGGAGGTGAAATGCAAAGTAGCCCCTACATGCAAGAAATCTTCAAGAGGTCTCCCATTTATATTTAAAATTCTAGTCAAACTTGCAAACCACCTGTGTGTGTTTTCATATAGCACAGGTATCCTTGAGAAAAACTTGTGGTAAAACTACTGCAGGAAGATGTGTCCAATTCATCTGTGGTTTTGTGGACCACCTGGTGCCCTGCTAAATATCTCAGAAGCTTTGGACACTCTAGGGTAAGTGGCATACATATAGAGGGAAAAGGTAATGGGGTAGAAAAATACAGGGTTTTGGAGGCAGAGAGAGCAAAGTAAAAGTTCTAGCCCTCTAACTTACGATCTGCGGCAATCATGATCACAGCAATGATCATTTCTAAAGCATCTATTATGGGCAAGGCATTAAGCATTTGACATAAATTATTTCTAGTCCTAAAAACAAACTTATGAGGTAGGTATTATGATCCTTTTACAAATAAAGAAACTGAGCTCAGAAATATTCAGTATCTTTTATGTAGTTGCAGAGCAAACAGGTCACCCTTCCAGGATTTAACCCAGCTTTTGCTGACTATGAAGCCTTTCCTCTTTTCATAATCTTACCACTTAGCCTCTGCCAGCCTCCATTTTCTTATTCATAAAACGGGGTAATAATACTTCCTTGCAAGGTTCTTGTCATGAGTAAATTTAATAATTTAAGGTGTTTTATACAATTCCTGGCATACAGTAAACCCAGCACAAATTCTAAGTTCCCCTGCTTTTAAAAAAGGATCTTAAGAACAAGTTAGATTTAATAAACAAAAACTCTTTAAAAAAAAAAAAACTATTATAAAAATAAGAGAGTCGGTGGGCTCAGTGACTCACGCCTATAATCCTAGCACTCAGGGAAGGCAAGGCGGGAGGATCGCTTGAGGTCAGGAGCTCAAGGCCAGCCTGAGCAAGATCGAGACCCCATCTCTACTAAAAATAGAAAAAATTAGCCAGGCAGGGTGGTGCTCACCCGTAGTCCCAGCTACTCAAGAGGCTGAGGCAGGAGGATTGCTTGAGCTCAGGAGTCTGAGGTTGGTGTGAGCTAGGCTGATGCCACTGCACTCTAGCCCAGGTGACTGAGCGAGACTCTGTCTCAAAAAAAATAAAAATAAGAGAGTAACAAGCTTAAAATACGTATTCCCTGGCAAGAAAAAGTTTGCTACCTCTCTGCCCTAAAATATTCATATTTCTAAAATTGAAGAACAATCTGTCCAAATTCAGTAAAGTTCAACTACTAGATCTAAACTGAAACATTAGAACAAAATGGTATTTTACCCCCAAATACATGCTATTTATACCAAATGTACAACAGAAAAAGCACATGGTAATACCTAGTCTCCCAAACTGTCTGCCAACAAAGCTCACACTTTTAAATAATTAGAGATTGTACCTGGTAAACTCCTGGACAGCTTCTATTTTGGGGTGATAGACAACAATTCTTTTCTTCAGCATCAGTGCTGTGTGTAAGATAACAGTTTCCATTCCAAACTGAGATACAATGTCTTCCAAAAAAGAAATTACAGTGTTACTGCATTACATATTATATAAGGAAATAGTTTTTATCAGAAAGCATTCTTGTCATATGATTACAAAATTATTTTTAATACAGAGAATAAACTTAGGCATACAAACACCTTATTTGGTGGAGAGGTATAGCCACCCTGCATCTGCTCACCAGAATGTGTGTTCTAGCTGCCTACAACTGTCCCCCAAGGGACTCTGCTGGATGCATCGATGAAGCAACTCACAAAAAAGTGAAACAAATGCTATGAAGGGGCATCCCAATCTTTCTGTATCACGAAAACTTCCTGATTTTAAAAAAAATGTCCATTAACCCCATCCTCCTCTGACATCTTAGGTTCTTTTCAGCTAGCTTGACAAACACCTAACACCTGAACAGGGATGCTTAGAAACCACAAAGGACAGCAGGATCAAGAGCAAAGACAGGTTCTGTGAGAGGCCTTCAAAGTCCCCTCTCTTCCCTCTCAAGGATCCTGAAGTCGGTGCCTTAGCCCTGGGGAATCTCTGCCATTTTGGATTTCCTGGCTAGGAGCTGAATTAGGGCCTCCAGGTCAGGGGCTTGAGCTCTTCAGATAAAAGAAGTAACTGCAAAGATCTAAGGAAGGAACAACTACAAAAGGCAGCGGAGACCTTGAGCCATGAAATTTAGCTTACTGGTTGAGAGAATATTTCTATAATAACAGAATAATATGGAAAGAAATGCCACAAAAAAATCTGTTTTCCTCTGAGAGAATTATAATCCAGTATGGACTATAAGAGTTGAAGTAGGAAGCAAATATTACGTAAAATATTACGTAAAAATAATGCATGGAAAGATGGCACAATGGAATCTAATGAGAGATTGTCCTTGGCTTGGGATTTTGTTGTTGGGATGGGTTTTTGTTCTTTCTTTTCTTTCTCTTTTCCTATTTCTCTTTCTCCTTCTCTTTCTCTCTCTTTCCTTCCTTCTTCCCTCCCTCTCTTCCCCCCTTCTCTCTCTCTCTCTTTTACCTTTGATGGAGCCAGCAAGGTATGCCTTTCGGGCATCAAAGTCCTTGCTAAGGAAAGAGCCATTTTCTTCACTCTGGCATATCCCCTTTGTGAGAACTGCAATATAACTCTCCATCATTTTAACTGGGCTCCCGTGTTTCAGGTACATTCTGTAAGGAAGGACAAAAAATCAACCATGCTTTTATTTGGCATGAATCACGTGCAGAAATGCACCAAAGCTAGGCACAGGCACTATCTAAAGAATCTAAAGCCAACTTGCTAATACACTTCTGAATACTTCAACCTTTTCGTGACATGTATTACTTCTCTAATTTAATTCAAAAATATATTTAAAAGGAAAAAACCTCAAGAGATCTGCAACAATTCTTTGAAGTCAGCTCTCTTCTTAATCTGGGGTAGCTTGCCATAGTCACTAAGGCAGGAGAATGAACTATGGACTTTCTGAAGCCCCATGATTCTCAAGAATGTCGTATACTTAGCTCTTTTTATATCTTACATTCACGACTGGTGTTCAGTTCTTAGTCATACAACTCTGTTTTATTGCTGGGATTTCCTTTGACAAGAAAGGAGTTTTATGCATTGTTCACAGAGAAAGCAGTAATTAGCTGTAGAACCCATACTTATCATCAGAGTTCCCAGAGGTAGCTATATTTAGATAATTAAGAAATCAAAACTCTTTTAAGTTTCTGGTGATAAATGCACACTAGACATTTATCATCAAGTTAAAGCTTCCAGAAAATGCTGGCAGGAAACTGGCTGCATTTATAGCTCACATGTGGAGTAAGTCTCTTCCCCTTGAAATATCTTCCTGTGAGCAATAAAACTAAATTTTGCTAGAGAAACATGACTGGGTCTACTTGGGCCTCTCAGCAGCTGATGGGATAGAAAATCAGGAAGAAAATAAAACTGCTGTTTAAGACAGATCACTTGAAAATTATATTTGTTGTAGATTGAGTGAAAAAAGCAACTGTTTTAAGTGCTTACCAAATTTTGTCAATCAGTGGGTTTTTTTATTATTATTTCAATCTACAAATTAAGAAAAAAAAGGTAGAGAACAATGAATATGGTAAGTTCTCATATATGTAAAATACATTCGAAGCCATGAACTCACATGTGTGCTTCCATAGGGAGAAACATCTCTGGTAGGATATAAAGGACATAAGCATCACAGGAGTTGCATGAGGGTGGGGGTCTGGAGGCAGAACTAGAGGATGGGGAATGGGGGGAGGGGACTTTGTCCCCTCACTGTATACTCTTCTGTATTTTTTTATGATTATTATATGCTTTATTACCACCAAGAAAAAAATAAAAATTCCACTAACATTATAAAATAGAAACAACATGCAGTAATGGAGAAGAGAAACATAAGAAGGTTTGTGGCATAGGATGACTTCCTACATGACAACCCTGGGCCATGAGAGATGGAACAGAGGGAGGGATTCCCCCAAACAATTCAACAGGAAAACCCCAAAACTCAGAGGACCTTGTTCAGACACCCACAGGCTGCCACACCTGGCCTGAACATCTTATTCCAAGTGTGTATGAAACCCTGGTTGTGTGCCAAGGCAACTAGCTACATGGACTAGAGGATGAAGGAGGTCATGGCAATGAACCTAGAATCCACATGGGGAACAAAGCCTTCTCATGCAGGTTTCCATGGCCACTGTAAGCAGCCTGCTATGGAAGGCACGTCTGCCTGCCTCTCACCAGAAATGGAAGGGGGCAACTCCATGTTAACCTCATCTTCATGAATAAGTGTTTATCTACGAAGGTGTGTATGGGGTGTGCGTGTCTGTGCACGGGCAAATGGGTGTGCACGCATGCAAGGGTGAGTGTGCAAGTACAGTAAGGGTAGGAGGCAGAGGAGGTGGCTGGCGATAGCTCTGAGTCCTCACCTCTCTTGCAGTGCGACCGAAGAGGAGCATACAGAATGCTACAATGCCATGGCCCTGCAGGTTCCAAGAAACCTTCTGGGCTTCCTTCTGGGCAGGAAGTGGGGTCTGAAGCAACCTTGCCTTCTGGACCCCAGAATATTTCCTAGTGAATTCAGTTGAATAACCTAACCCTGACTCAATCAAATGAAATGGGACTCCAACATTTATTTAAAAACACCTCTGCAGTGTTTTTAGTTTATAGCTTCTGGATAGCGTCTCTTCTGGCAATAATAATTTCCTTTGTGTCAGTGCCACATTAGAGACAATTGTTTACATTCCACAGTGAGGCATACACCTGGAATTTATCATATGACAATAAGAAAACTTTTTTTACATTGTAGCTGCCTGCAAAAAACAGTAAAACCTCATTTAGTCAAAATATAATCTAACTGAAACCTTTAGCTAATGAGAAGATACTCTTATGCTAGGTCTTTGTGTATGTATATGCACAAAAATGGCAAAAAGGCAACCATTTACTGGGCTTATAATGAGAAAAACAAAAACAATTCCCTTCACCACCGTCCCCACCCCAAAAATGACTTATCAGGTAAAAGCCTGAAGGCTGAGGGTAATATACAACACCTAGAATTACAATTCTATCTAGTAACAATGATAGTAAAAAAAAAACCACAAAAAACTAAAATCCTGCAAAAGCGTTCATCATTAAAGAAAAAGCCAATGTCCCTAACATATAATAAAAATTTCATTAAGTCCACTAGATAGATATACTTAATAAGGTCAGAAAGTAGATTGTTATATTTTAGATAAATTTTTCCAACAGTTGGGATGAAATTAAAGGAGTCTATTTGAATCATGATTAACCAATTAATCATAAGTCCCCAGCCTCTCAGCATTCCAGCTAAGAAATGTTTCTCTGTACTTTAGTGTAATTCAAAATGTCCATTAACTTTCCCCAAAATGACTGCTACACACCGACACATATGAACCAGTGCACCACTCCATAAAGCACTGAACATATCTGTCCTGCTAAGGAAATTCGATATTGGAAATGAATACAAGTAATAGACCAAAAGTAGCAAGTGACTCAAAACACCCAGGAACTATAGTAGCTGTGCAAACTTTTTCTCATTCCCTACTCCATCTTCCCAAATAAGAGGAGTAGTATCAACTAAGCAGAAGACAAAGTACTTCTTTAAAAAACAGTCTCAGAAGGGTCACTAAAGATTAAGTTGGGGAGACAGAGGACTGAAATTTGCTTTCTCAGTGTAGAAATCTGCTATGTAACTATTGAGTAAGATCTTCATTTTTGTACATTAGCATTTAATACAGTTTTTATACAGACCTACACAATATCCTAGTGAAGGCGGCATATTTCTCTGGGTTAAAATCTTTGGCGGTCAGAACAATAGAAAAATGAGTCACCTGTCCAAAAAAAACAAAAAAAAGTATACTTTTTAGAGATACTTTAATAGAAATAATTTTTATTACTATTTTCTAACAAATTTCTTGTATAAGACATACCAGTATTAAAAGGAAAAGACCAAAATGTAACTAGTCCTCACTTGCTTCCCCACATGCATTATGTGTTTATTTATATATAAAAATATATTTAATTTTCTAATAAGCAATATTTTTAGAAAAACATGTTTTAAAACACAAAAATACTTCAGTCAAATATAAAAAATGTGTTTCTACTAAATGTCCCCTAACTTCATCAAAGCAGAACTAGGATTGTTAAATCTGACCTACCAATTTAGCAATTCTAAATACCGTTTATCTTTTTTTATAATAGTTTCACTATTTTATCTATTTATTTTTATTGATATGTAATAGATGTACATATTTTTGGGGAACATGTGATAATTTGACACATTCATATAATAATGTGTAAAGATCAAATCAGGGTAATTGGGATATCCATCCCCTTAAATATTTATCTTTTCTTTATACTAGGAACAAATTGTTCTTTTAGCTATTTTGAATTATACAATAGATTACTGTTAACTATAGTCACCTGCTGATCTATTGAATAGCAACTGTTTTTCATTAATGAGATAGAAGGATGAAAAACAACAAAATACATCTCAGTAACAATCATATAGTTCTTGAATGATCAACTCTCTGTAGAGTGCCACAAACTAAAAGGTAATGTTATAACAAGCCTCATTTATTTATATGTCTCTATTTTTTTTTTTCTTTTTTTGGAGACAGAATCTCACTCTGTTGCCTGGGCTAGAGTGCAGTGGTGTCATTCTAGCTCACTGTTACCTCAATACTCTTGGGCTCAAGTGATCCTCCTGCCTCAGCCTCCCAAGTAGCTGAGACTACAGGCGCATGTTACCATGCCCAGCTAATTTTTCTATTTTTTTGTAAAGACAGGGCCTTGATACGTTGCTCAGGATGGTCTCAAACTCCTGGTTTCAAGTGATCCTCCTGCCTTAGCCTCCCAAAGTGCTAGGATTACAGGCAGGAGCCACCATGCCTGGCTGAAGAAATACATTTTTAAAAAAACATATTTTGAAGTAAAAGAACTATCTCTAAATCTTGCTAATTTCAAAATCTGGAAAACATAGCTGTGATATTGATGTTGCTATGACGTGGTAGTCTGTAATAAAAAAACATGGGATAAATCTACTTGAGGCTGCATCAAGAATTTTCACCAAGAACTTATCGAACATAAACCAAAGACTTCATAACATACTGAAACCTACCTTCTTGCACATTTACATTTTCTAATTATGAATCTCTCTTTTATCTTAAACCTGCAACAGTTTCTAAACTGTTGCCTTCCTATTATTTTAAATGTAATTTCTTAAATTTAAGCTGGTATTCTAGTTATGCTTCATATGGTCCCATTGTTGGCTATAAATTAGCCCAGAAAAGGGAAAAGAAGTCCCCATCCAGGTACATGCGACAGGCTCAGCCACTTTGTTCCAATATTCTTTCTTTGAAAACAAACAAACAAAAAAACTGCGCATTGCCTGGGACTAGGAAAGTTTACAATGACCATATACTGGTTTTCCACATGTCACATTGATAGTGTTCGTATCAAACAACACAGCAAAAAAAGCCTATTTAATACATGAGTTTCCTTAATTACCCTTTCTAAATTCTTAATATATCCTTATCATCTAGATGCAAATGAAAATAAAAAAATTTCTTAACTATACCAAGAATAATCATATTCTTTAAAATAGTTTTCATTTATGGAAAATACTTCTTCCCACTTTTATCAGAGTCATGGCTTGGAAACTACTACATTTCTATTCCATCAGACTGTAACTTCAATAAACCACATGCTGCTATATTGCTCACCACCATATCAACCACAGGGTCTATCATATAATATACAGCAATACATATTTATAGAATGAATGAGAATGAAGTGTGAAAGAGAACATTCTCAATGAAAATGATGTTTAATATTTTTGAAAGTGTATTGTGAATGATAAGGTCTAAAGCTAAGCATTACTGGAATAATCTTTTATCATTATAAATATTTTTGGTTTTTTGACCTTAATGAACTCATACCTTTTTCAAAACTGAAGAATCTGGAACTTCAACTGTTGTAATATAAAACCATGTTCTTCTGTACTGACCAAAGACAAAGGGATGGAGAAGTTTGTTTTCATCCATAAGGCAGCATTTTCTCAGCAGCAGATTTCTTAACGTGGCTGTCGTGGAAGGGTAACACCACACCCAGAGAACTTCTCCATTTGTGTCCTTTTCTACGGTGGAAAGATGGTCACTGTGAGAATGTCAAACAGCAGCAAGGAAGTGAATTGATTGGTTACTCAGAAGCACTTAGTGGAATCAGTTTTAACACCCCACTTTACAAAGCAACCCAGAGTACATGAGACCCAAATTCCCACCTACCTCTACTGTTCAAATTATCTAGTTCTCATGGATCTTGAGTTTTAGGTCACCTGAGTAAAAAGCTTTTTATAACGAAATCATGAACGAAAATTTAGCCTGAGAGATTTGGTAGAGTTTCCCCCTCTTTCTCACACAAATGCTTACAAACTTTTAAGTACATTAAGTTTTTATCTAGTTGGAAGAATCTTTAATAAATACATAGAAAAGTTTTGTTGAATACAAGACTGGAGTAGAATGGTTTAATCTCCTTCAATCATGTTACATGCCAATTGTGTGAATTCTGTATTTAAACATTTTTAAATAATAATAATAAAGGTTATCCAGTCATATGTGTAGTTTATCACCAAAGTAAACACCTCAATTACAAAAAAGGAACAATTTGCTAATAGTAAAAACTTGAGGCAAAACATACCTAACCTTTAGAGAATTACCAAACATATAGCAGAAAGAATCCAATTTTTAATCTATTTTTTATTGATAGATATCAGTTGTACATATTTTTGGGTACATGTGATATTTTGATATCTGTATACAATGTGTGATGATCAGATTGGGATAACTGGAATAGCAAACATTTATCTTTTCTTTGTGTTGAGAGCATTATAAATCTTCACTTCTAGCTATTTTGAAATATACAATTATTGTTAAGAATCCAATTTTTGATCTATAGATTCTTTAAAAACCTTACATTTTAGAAAATATAAAGTATATTAGAAAAAAGTAGGGAGAATAATAAAATGAATTCCATCTCCATCAGTTTCAGCAGTTATCAACACCTGGCCTTTCCTTCATATGGGGGAAGGGGTACCCCTCCCTCTATTATTTTGAAGCAAATCCCTTTTAAATTCATGTCAATATGAAACATAAAAAACCTGCTGAACTGAAGATATGATCATAAGTCATCTTTTTCTTTACTGTTACTAAATAAAATCAGAGTTTAACTCAGCCTTAATTCAGAAGTACCTTCTGGCAGGACTAAGACGCCTGAGGTACTTAGGTTTTGCTTTAAAGCAGTTTTAAAATCACATGAGAAATGAATACAAGAAGCCATTCCCACATAAATGTACTCCTTTGAGACAGTGAAAAATAATCCACACATTTCTCCAGTTTTGCTAAGCCTAAGCAATGTTCTTGTACATTGGGGGAATAGAGGAAGTTTTTAGGGGTGTGCAAAAAACTCGGGAGAATAGAAATTTTTCAAAGGGAACCGACAGGGGTTCATTCAAGCAACTTGGTGCTCGCTGTCACCTATTGGATGAATGGTTCCACCACTCAAACACTGCACGCGGCTCAGGCACATTCTGGGTTGCCCAAAGATCCCCCAAGTGTGATCTTTTAATTATGGAAAGATAATTAAATTCCTTGAAACGAACCGAGATTCCACCCCATATGATTATGTAGAAACTCCTGCTATATGCACGAGCTCGATCACATGACGCGGGAGTTCTCCACTGGTGGGAGTGGGGACTCTGGGGCTACACTGCAAGGGTCCCAATCCCAGCTCTGCCACTCCCCAGCGTGTGTCCGTGCACAAATGACACCCTGGGCCTTCACTTGCCCTCCATAAAGTGGACATCAGACGTTCCCCACCCGCCCGGAGTTGAACAGGAGATAATCAGTGTATAATGCGCAGCACCGGGCCTGGCAGTTAGCCACCAGGTCTCGAGCCGCTAGATCCCACGACCAGGGCTGGCCGGGCGCCGAGCCAGCAGTCATGCGTGACTCCCCGCCGTCCGAGGCAGCCGCCTTGCCCGGCTCCGCTGGACCTGGCCGTGCCACCTCCCCGCAGCGCCGCCCGCAAGCGGCTCCCGCCCGGCCCGGCCCCGCCCGCGCGACGGCCCCTCACTGCCGCCCGAGCCTGGGCACCCTCGACGTCCGGGCTCCGCCGGGCAAGCCGGGCTGTGCAGGAGGAGCTCCACCCCGGGATCTGGGGGTTCCCTTCCGGCCGAGCAGGACCAAAGCGCGGCCGCGGCAAAGGCAGCGGGCCGGGTCCCCGCGCCGAGGCCGGGCCCCGCAGCCCCCAGCCCAGGCCCAGCATGAAAGGGGCCGCGCCCTCCTCGTGAGGGCGGCGCCGGGGGCCGCCCCGGGCCGAGGCGGAGCAGAGGCGGAAGTGGGGTGCGGGCCTGCCGGGCAGGGCACCTGCGTCCTCACCGATCAGCCCGACTCCGAGCATCAGCTGAGTGTCCGCCGCCTCAGCAGCAGCCATCTTCCGCCGCAGCCGCGCGCCGCCTCGCCTGCTCGCCCGGGGGCCCAAGCCCCGCCCACACCGCCTCGCTGCCGCCGCCTCCTCACCGCCCCAGGCCCCACCCACACTGCCCCAGGCCCCGCCCCCCGCAGCCTCCACCCTGGCCGGCGCCGGCCACGCCCGCGGACCCCGCCTTCCTCGCCCAAGCTCCGCCCTCTGTGGCCCCGTCTCAGCCCGCCCCGACTTCCTCGGTTTAGCTCGGTTCATCTGCCCTTGGTCCTTTCCGTTTGGAAACGTCCCTCGGCCTCCGCAGCCTCCCTCAGTTTCTCTAATCCAGATCTTCATCCTCCTTCTCCTCAACCCACTCCAATCTTCCTTCTCCTTCTTAGGCTTTCCTTATTCTACCTTCATCCTCCAGTGTGGCTCAAAAGAACAGGTCACCTTGTTCCTAAAAATTGAGGCGTCCTACGGATGGAGGAAGGGTCTCCATTCATTCATTCATTCATTCATCCAGTCATCCCCGAAACAAAACAAAACAAAACAATTGGGGATCTAATAAGGTACAGTGTTGAGCAGGACATAGCATTCCAGTGAGGGAGATAGACAATTAGCGAGTAAAATATTATAAATGCTAAAACAGCCCAGAATGATAAGTGCCCTGAAGGCAACAAAATAGTGCAATGTGTTGGTGAATGGGGGTGTACTGCTTTCCAACGGATGTCAAGGAAGGCTTCTCTGAGGAAGAGAGGGATATGTGAATCGAGATTTGAACGATGGGAAACAACCAGACAGTAAAAGATCTGGGTGGCTCCAGGACCCCTCCTCTAGATCTACTGCTTATCTCCAACCCCCAATCACACAAAACTAATTAGGGAGGGTCCTTGGTGTCTACAGGAATACAATCCCACCCCTATCTCGTTCGATGTTTCTAAAAAAATTGACTATGAAATATTTCGTATGTGCATACCAACTGTTAAAAGACAAAATTACAACAAATTTGAAGATCTAATTGGCTTTTATTAGTGATTCCAGAATCTGGAGACGTCTCATTTTATAAAATAGAATGGGTGTTCCAAGGAGCTGAGCAGAAGAGGGCAGAAAAGGGCTGAAGAAAGCAAAAACAGAACAAAAAGTGGATTGATTGGTTGTTTCAAAGTTACTTTTCTTAGAGTTAAAATAGAGGGGCCTTCCTTATCATGCCAGTTCCTATCACGTAAACTGGGCCTCTTCTGATGGGTTGATGTGAACCTCCTGTTCTTTTTTAAAAACTGGCCTGTTTCAAAGTTCACTTTGATTAGGTGGCACTTAGTACCAAGTGACTCCATTCTGGTTTGGATCCATCTGTTGGGCCTAATTAGGTAACTTAGTCCAAAATAATGGCCTCCTGTAAATTTCATTTAACGCGTCCTAAGGAAAACCTGTGGTCTTTGCCCAGTTTAAGACATCAAGCATCACAAATGAAGTTAAAGTGACCCCCTAGTCTTCCTCAACCCTCTGCCCCTCTCCACACCACAGAGGTACTTGCTATTCTAGATTTGTGATTGTCATTTTCCTATGTTTTTAAACTTTATATTACTCAACAAAATATCATACTCCTTATTTTTGAAATTTCAGACCAATTCAACAATAGCTAACATTTATTGGGTGCCAGACTCTAAGTGTTTTACTCACGTTACTTTCTTAAATCCTCACAGTACCCCTATGTATGTTAGACCCCCAATTTACAGGTGAGAAAACTGCAAGGCAATCACACAACTTGCAAGCCACAGAGCCAGGCCGTGGCCCCCAGCAGTGGGACTCCAGCCACATCCCATCACTACTCCGTGTAGCCTCCCATTCTGAAGAATGCTGCTTTGTATTCATTTCCAACTTGTTTTCTTTTGTTTGTTTTGTTCAACTTTATGTTTTTCTTTAGAGATTTCTTAAAAGATTTATCCCAGTTTATCCAAATTCCTCATATTTCTGGCTCAGTACATTTAACTATTGAATGGTATTTTGTGAATGAAAATATGGTTATTTGCATTGTTTGTTGATGGACATTAGTTTCCTCTTTTTTACTTTATCATAACAATGCTGCTGTATTTTGAATGAGTCTCTTTGTTCTACTTGCTCTTTACCTTGGGAAATTTGACATTATGAAGACTCAAACACCATTTCTTCCCTAAACCCAGGCAAAACTAATCTCTCTCTCTCTCTCTCTCTCTCTCTCTCCCAGCGTCTAATAGCATTTGGCCATAGAGCTAGGACAGCAATGTTCACATTGGAATATATTTAAGTGTGTATACGGCTGTCCTGTTTCTCCCATTAGACCAAAATCCTGGACTATGTACCTTTTTTTTTTTTTTGAGACAGAGTCTCACTCTGTTGCCCTGGCTAGAGTGAGTGCCATGGCATTAGCCTAGCTCACAGCAACCTCAAATTCCTGGGCTCAAGCGATCCTCCTGCCTCAGCCTCCCGAGTAGCTGGGACTACAGCCATGCACCACAATGCACGGCTAATTTTTTCTATATATTTTTAGTTGTCCAGATAATTTCTTTCTATTTTTTTTAGTAGAGAGGGGGTCTCGCTCTTGCTCAGGCTGGTCTCGAACTCCTGAGCTCAAACAATCCGCCTGCCTCGGCCTCCCAGAGTGCTAGGATTACAGGCGTGACCCACCGCGCCCAGCCTGGACTATGTACCTTTGGATTTCCTGTGCTTACTGTTACAAGAAGTAACTGTTAATGTGTCTAGTTCTCAAAACAAGCAGGTATTTAGGGGCTGAGGTGTGGGACCCAGATTCAGAATCAGTTTGGAAGCTAAGTAGACACTTGCACTCACGTTTCACTGGCATTGCAATCTTTAGTGAGGTTTTGCAGGTAAAGCATTTGAAAACACAATTGATCCTCTCCTAGATTTCCTTTAACAACCTTGAATCAATCTGCATCTCAAATACCTGCTTTGGATGAAGGGCACTGCCATCTAATAAACTGGGATAATTATATAAAATCTTAACATAGTTCAGCTACTGTTGTAGACTGAATTGTGTCTCCTCAAAATTCACGTATTGAAGCCCTAACCGCCAGTATCTCAGAATGTGACTGTATTTGAGGTAGGGCCTTTTTTCTTTTTTTGTGACAGAGTCTCACTATGTTGCCCTGAGTAGAGGGCGGTGGCATCAGCCTAGCTCACAGTAAACTCAAACTCCTGGCCTCAAGTGATCCTCCTGCCTCAGCCTCCCGAGTAGCTGGGACTACAGGCGCATGCCATGACACCCAGCTAATTTTTCTATTTTTAGCTGTAGAGACGGGATCTCGCTCTTGCTCAGGCTGGTCTCGAACTCCAGAGTTCAAGTGATCCTCCTGCCTTGGACTCCCAGAGTGCTAGGATTACAGGTGTGAGCCACCTCCCTTGGCCTGAGATAGGGCCTTTAAAGAGGTGATTACATTAAAGTGAGGCCCTTAGGGTGGGCTCTAATCCAATCTAATTGATGTCCCTTGTAAGCAGAAGAAATGTGGACAGAGAGCCCCCAGAGGCCTGTGTGTATCAGGGAAAGAGCATGTGAAGAGGTGGTCAGAGGCAGGCATCTGCAAGCCAAGGAGACACACCTTGACTTTGGATTTCTAGCCTCTAGAAGTGTAACGAAATAAATTTCTGCTGTTTAAGCCACCCAGTCCGTGCTGCTTTGTCCTAGCAAACTAATACAGCCACTCTTAGGCAGTCTGTATTAGAAGTGGAGTGCCCTGCCAGAGATTATATTTCTATGGGGTTTTCCCCCTCTTCTTTTGCAAAAGAGACGCCTGAAAAAATTATCTTTGAATTACTAAGCCCCCTTTTCTCTCTGCAGTAAAGGCGAGGACCCCTTGATTTCACTTAGACAATCTTCCTTGGATGGGTAATCACTCTCTTGTCTGGAATTAAAATGTAAAATCACATTCTTTTGTGGTTGGAGAATTTAAGAGGAAATGTACCAGACACCCTCAGAAATCCCAATATAAACTGCCTAAGAGTAGCTGTATTAGTTTTAATGAATGAAGCCTTTCTGGAGGCAGTTTCGCAGTACCTATCCAAATGGAAAAGTGTACATTCAGGAATCTACTTTTAGGAAATACTTATACATGCACACAAATACATATGTACAAAGATGTTCATGCAGTGCTGCTGGTAAGAGTGAAAACATGAAAATTACCTGAATGACCATTAATGAAGAAACAACAAAAAGAAATGATGGTATGTTCCATACTGTAGAATGCTATGAAGCTACTGAGAGTGAGGTAGAGACATACGTGCTAAGTCACTATATCCCCATCTCGGTATAAAAGCCCAAGCTGTCACGTGTATGTATGGCACGGGAGGGCTGCACACCCAACTGCTGACAGCAGTTACCTTAGAGGGAGGGCAGGGGAATTGTGTGAAGGAAGGTTTGGGGCCGTGTACCCCACAACTTTTCAATCTTTTACAATGAAAATATATTCATATGTGAGTTGTATAATAAAAATGCAATATAAATATTTATAAATGTAGAACATAAAAATATTGAAGTTAAATATTTATAAATGTATATTTAATGTATAATGTATTACATGCACTATATGTAATGCCCATACCTGTAAAAATATCATTGAAACATATTAAAATGCCAATAACAGTGGATTTCTTGAGGTGGATAAGATTTCAGCAATTTTTCTATGTCCGTTTACTTTTATTTCACCATTTTTAATATACTCTAGTATTGCATTGCTTCCAGTAGTTAAATTAAAAACTCTCTGAAATTGAGATGCATCTCAGAATTATAACTAGAAGTGTTTTCTTTTTCTTAGTGGTAAGTAAAATAATGATGCTTCATCACTGATGGCATTTCTAGATTTCATGAAACATGGTAAACAGAAAAGAAGAGAACGTATGTTAAAACCCATACACCACAGATTTCCTGTTCTTTCCACTTCACCAAGGTCATTTGCTGAGTCTTACAGAAACATATTTAGCCCAAAACACGTACGCTAATTTTGTGTGGTATATGGGCTTAAGGTATCATTTTTCATTAAATTAGCAAGAACACAGGATCGGTGAAACTTGATTTCCC